TATGAACTGACTAATTACAAGTATGATTGCGGAGTAAACAGTTCCTTCCATCTTATCACGAATGAGTATCAGTTAGCGGAGATCTGGAATGAGGAAGATTAGAAGGAATAACCACAAGCACAAAGGGAAGGAGGAAGAAGCGAAAACACAACACAAAAGAACACAACAAAGTGAGGAAAATGCAACAAACCAAATTAAAGAAAAAACACATACACCATGCTGCGATATATCTAAATCCTGGAAAAACGAATGATTATTTTGGAGGAACCGTAGAACTCCAAAATATATTTCTACATCAAACTATTATATTATTTGTTGTACGGGTTTCATCTTCATGACAGATCCTATTCCTCTGAGAAGTTCCTATTAAAAATTTCGAGTAAGATTATACTTAAGGTATACGGTTTATTGCATATAAAGCATAGCAGTCAAATTTAAGTAATTGATCATGACACTGTATCTCTTTGAGCACGAACAGCTCGCTTGTCACCAACCAGAGCAGTGCGACGTGAGTTATACGGAGTCGGATATGGTTGAATGCTTATCTCTTGTAGTGGAATGGAATCAGCTCGCGTACGCGCTTCTGAAACATTTCAGGTGAATTAACTTCTGGAGGAGAAAATTACCTCGGCGCTTCCTTTTGTTATCGTTGTATCGATTGTAAAGATACAGCGTGGTGTAGTAGACCACCAATAAAACAACAACAATAACCAAATAGGTGACAACTTTGCGATCCATGTTGTCAAAGTATAAGAAAACTCGTAAAACAACTTGTTTAGACAATTTAGAATGATGACGGGAAGTGAAATGAGAGAACTTACAGTGTTGTAGCGTACGTATCATATCTCTAATTGGATATATTTGCAACAATTAGAAGTATGGTAGTTGGTGATCTAATTACGCTTTTCGTCATTCTTTATCGATTATGTGAGTTATAGTTCGTGAAATCTGAGACTTGTAAGTGTTGCTAGGAGACAGAGTCTGGAAAGGTTAAGCGATAAGCTCGGATTAGAATATTGACTTACTCACACTCGGTTTGTCCTGCATGTTTGTCCGTTCCTTTTCAATAATAACAAAAAGCATTTTCAGTATTTTGGACAGATTGTTTCAAATATGGAGTTTCTCTGTTACTTCTTCATGGCATGGACATCAGTGTTCCTCTATCACATAGCGGAGTATATGTACAAACGATATAAGAAGGCTCAAGAGAAGAATCGTGAAGGTAACATCCTTGTTCCAACTATAAATATGATATATAAGGTTCAGACGAGCGAGTCCGAGATCAGCAAATGATCGAGTTCAAGAAACAGTTGGTTACCCACGTATTAAAGGAGCTCACCCCGCAACAAGTACACGCAGGGGAACCAAATCAGAAAAAGAACAAACCCAAAGGATCCCGCAAAATTAAAAAGCGTTTCTTCTAACTTAGTGTATCCATGTTACTAAAAAAAATAATAAACTTCTGTCATACAGTTCGGTTTCTCTTCTGTTTCTAAACTGGATCTGAACAATCATATAACAAATCCCTAAGCAATGCAACAAGTACGAAACTGATGAAAGACAGTTTGTTAAAAGATGAACGAAGGTGCACACGACTGTTTACTCCTCTTATAAAACGAGACAAAACAAAGTAAAATTCTNTATGAACTGACTAATTACAAGTATGATTGCGGAGTAAACAGTTCCTTCCATCTTATCACGAATGAGTATCAGTTAGCGGAGATCTGGAATGAGAAAGATTAGAAGAAATAACCCAAGCACGAAGGAAAGGAAAAGAACCGAGAACACGACACAAAACAGAAAAAGAAACCAAAAGATGAGCATTAACACTTCGTACTGTTGAGCACTTCCGAATCCTGGTGGTTACCTCTACCTGTTATCATTTGATTATGAGAATATCCAAACCTTGTTTGAAACATAACTTCGAAATTGGTTATATTAATCTGGACGTTTGTTTGAAATCTATAAAACGATGTTTTAGATGGATAGGTCTAACGATTTCTTCCAGGAGCTGTCTTGCTTTTTGTTTCTTCATTGGAATGCTAACAATTCATTTTGAGGACAGATTGGTACCTATAAGGGGGAATTCATGTGTTGACAAGTTCCCATTCATCACATATTATTATAGCTTTATTCGTTTAGTTGGCATAGAACAATTGGTTTGATAGTTGCTT